ATTCTATAATTTATCTCTTTCAAAATTTTTATTTAACTATTTCCAATTTTTATTTTTTAATTTTAACTTTAATTTCTTTCTTTCGAAATTGTTATTTAACTATATCCAATTTTTATTTTTTAATTTTAACTTTAATTTCTTTCGAAATTCTTGTTTTTTAAAATTTCTCTCGCTTTCAGAATTACTCTCTCTTTGTCTTCTTTCTAAATTTTTGTCTTAAAATTTTTTCCAATCTCCCTTTAACTACTTTTGTATTCAAAATTTTAAATTTTTTACCCAGTAAATTTCTTCTCTTGAAATTTTTTCTTTTAGTTTCTAAAAAATTATTTCCATTTTTATTCTTTTTCAAAAATTATTTCCAATCTCCCTTTAACTACTTTTTAAAATCTAATTTCTTTCAAAAATCTTGTTTTTTAAATTTCTATCACTTTCAAAATCTGCTCTTTATATATTTCCACCAACTTTTTCTAATTGTTAGTTGTTTTTTTTTTTTAATATTTTAGCATTTTCAATTTGTTTTCCTTTGTGTATTTTTTATTTAAATTTTTAATTTTTTACTCTATAACTAATTGTCTTTCGAAATTTTTCCTTTGACTTTGTCCAAAATTTTTATCTTTAACTGATTCCAATTTTTTTATTTTTTAATATACTTACGATCTATAATTTCATATTTCAACTCAAATTCGTTTAAAAATTTATGTTTTTAAATTTATCTCTATATATTTTCACCAACTCTTTCTAAATTTTTCGTTTTTTTTTTCATTTATCGACGTTTTTAAAAAATATTTTTAACATTTTCAATTTTTTCTCCCTAAAATTTTAGTCACTCTAGCATTAGTTATCTTTGAAATTTATTTTTATAATCATTTTATTTTCGCCCTCTAAATTTTGTTTTAGAAATTTGTTCTTATCTCCCTTTGACTACATTGGTATTCAAAATTTTAATTTTTTACTCTGTATTTTTCTTCTCTTTCGAAAGTTTCCCTATGACTTTCTCCAATATTTTTATCTTTAACTATTTCCAATTTTTTATTTTTTCAAATATACTTACGATTTAAATTGTAATTTAAACTTTAATTTCTTTTGAAATTATTGTTTTCTAAATTTCTCTCGATTCCTTTTTCACCAACCTTCTAATTTTTTGTTTTTTTTATCAATGTTTTAAAAAAACACATTTAATATTTTTAATTTGTTTTCTATATTTTCTTCTCTCTTTGGAACTAGCTTTTTCTTTATTCTCAAAATTTTTATCCTCGAATGTGGTTTTGAAATTTCTTACTACTATCTCCCTTTAACTACTTTTGTACTCAAAATTTTAATTATTTACTAAAAAATTTTATTCTCTCTTAAAAGTTTTATCTTTAACTATTTCCATTTGTGTTCCTTTTTAAAATATACTTACGATTTAAATTTAAACTTTTTTTTTTTAATTTCAACTCTAATTTGTTTCAAGATTTCTATTTTTTAAATTTCTCTCCTTTCAATATTATCTCCTATGCTCTTTCCAAAAGTTTTTTTTTTTAAATTTATCAACGTTTGAAAAAACATTTTTAACATTTTCAATTTGGTTTCCTTTAAAAATATTGCTTTTTATATTTACTTTTCACTTTGGATTTTTGAAAAAACTCCTCGCTCTTTCTTTATTTTACTTATGATTTAAAAATATGTTTTAATATTCTATAATTTGTTTTTTTAAATTTCTCTCACTTTCAAACTTCTCCCTTATCATTTTTTGTACCAACTTTTTCTAAATTTTATTTATTTTTTATTTATCAACGTTTTAAAAAAACATTTTTTGAACATTTTTATTTGTTTTCCTCTAAAAATATAATTTTTCTATTTTTACTTCTCACTTTGGAGTTTTTCTCTCTTAAAATTTTAATCGGCGCTTTGTTCCTGACTTTTTTCAAAATTTATCAAAATTTATTTATTTTAAAAATTTTAATCTTTATCTCTCTCGAATTTTTGTCCTTGCTCTTTTTTTTATTATTTTTTATTTTTTAAATGTACATATGGGTTAAAAGTATTTTATAGTGATTTTCACCTCAAACATTAGAGATCATATTTAGTGTGAAAAAAAAAAGGTGGCCGTGAGAGATAAGGGCAATGTTCTTGTCAAAAGAGGGGAAGTTTTGGACGACAAAAGCAAAAATTAGGAAAAAGCGCCCAAAAAAAAAAGAAAAAAATTATGAAAAGGAGCAAATTAAGCTTCAGCCTGCCTGACCTCAGGTAGCCGGCTTATCCTTACTTGTACGCTTAACTTTGCGCTTTCCAAAAACGGTACAGTCCCTCTGTAAGAATTTTAGTACTGTAAAAATTGATGTGAGTCGAATAAGAAATTATAATGAATATTAATATTGATTCTCATATTTAAAATATGTTACGGAAAGAAATAATTTACAAATATCACTAATTTTTTTTTATTGGAAAAGATCACTAATTTTAAACTATTATAGAATGGTACATCTAATATAAAATATATAAATTATGATGACAGACTTCTATATTATTTTTATATTGTTAATAAAATATATAGTGTTATTTTTTTAGATTGATACATAAAATCTTACCTTTAATTTGATAAATTAACAATTACTTAAGTCAAATATAATACTATTGCAAATTTACAAAACTAGAGTATTGCCAGAAAATTTTTAGTCTGTAATATATATTTTTTTAAAATTAATTATTTACCTATGGGGCTACCTACAGCCTACCCTCACAATTCCATAGCCTACAGCCTATTCTTTGTCCGCCCTGAAATTCTTCCATTTTTTTTTCTCTCTCCGTCATTATTATCTATGGGGGATCTGTACGGACTCCATCTCGTCGCCGATTACTCTCATCAGTCGTCTTCAGCGCCGCCGTTGGAGAGCCTCGTCTTTCCGGCTAATTGCCAAACCTATTCAACTGCTTCTGCAGATTGTTCTCATCGACTTCCGGCATTTGGATCGGAACTGTTGGCTCCGGTTTCGTCGGCGGCCTCCGATGCTGCTTTAATGGTGGAGATTCAGAGAGCACGTGCTGTCGAGGAGGAATCTGCCGCTGCAATTAGAGCGAAAATTGCTTCTCATCCTCTTTATCCTAAGCTTCTCGAGGCGTTTGTCGACTGCCAAAAGGTGGTTTTCTATTCTGAAAAGGTTCAACGCTCGCGGTTGGATAGTATTGTTGAGGAATGTGGAAAGTTAATTCTTAAAAAATTTGTGTGAGTGTTAATTTCTTACGCCGTCCAAGAACTCGACATAGACTTCTAATTAAGAAATTACTTCAAAGACCGGCATACAAAACTAGTTCAGTAGCTTTCTATTGTTTAGATCATGTCGAAAATTGTAAAAATCTGGAACTCTACAGTACTGCTTCTTACCATCGCGATACTTCTTGGAGAGTAAAATGCATCTAATCGTATTTCGATAAGGGGAAAAAGAAAAAAAAAATACCGGAGAAGTTAATCGGAAGAACGGCTTCGATATGGAAACTCAATCTATATTTTTCGAGTAACAGTTTGTTTCAGGATTTAGTTAGGTTAGGGTTAAGTCTGAACTGCTTTCTTGTTCAGGTATAGATTAGTTAGTATCATGTCTCCCAATCGGTACATTATTCCATGGTTGTGGCTTTTTCAGGTCGGCGCACCGCCGGAGACGATTGTCAACATTCTTGACGAAAGCCAACGAAGAAATGACATCGGCGTTTCAACTTGCTTGGGTGCCGATCCCGAACTCGATGTGTTCATGGTCTTCGCTTTCCCTTCTCTTGAATAACAACTAGCTCGTCACTTGTGTGTTTCACGATTCCCCTCGATTTTTTGTCTTCCATATTTTTACTAGTTTAATTCGGAATTTGAATTAGGAAACGTACTGCGGGATACTGGCCAAGTACAAGTTGGATCTGTCCAAGCCCCTCGTTGAAGCATCTTCATTCCTCAACAACATGGAAATGCAATTAAACAGACTTTGTATCGGCGCCACCAGAGGCTACGTTTCCGGTTCGTCACTCTCTCTCTCTCTATCCAACACGCTTCTGTTTTCTTACGAATTATTGTTTATTTTATTGAGTTTGTTGGTGTTTGTGCTCTTCTGGGATTTATTTTCTCGTCTCTATGCTTATGTGTTCATGTGTCCGTGCCTGTGGCGAACTTTTTGTTATTATTAATTTTTTTCCAACAACGGTGAGTGTGGGAGTAAAACCATATGTAATAATTGTCTGATCCACTGACATTTATTTTTTGTTATTAGCTCTCTCCCCGGGACTGATCCTATCGATATTCCATTTCCTGTGCTTATTTTAATTCCTTTGTTCACCACTTTTCATCCTTCTCGGGTTATATGCAAGTAATTTAATTCTTTCGTCTGAGGTTTTTAAATCTATACCTTTTTTTTGTTACCTTTTGTTGGTAGGTAGCTGCCACTCATACAAAATAGTAGCTCAGGCTAGTAGAGCGCCCCTCCCAATTTGGATACTAAATTTTCAGAAATTATTAGTAGTTGCCATCACAATATACTGCCACTTTCATGACTAGTCCAAACATATCTTATAACTTCTCTCATACACATTTTACGGCCATGAACGTACTGCCTAATTTTTAAAATTTGGCAGAAGTCCTAGGGCTCCTAGCTGTTCTTGGGTTGAAGCTATATTATCAAAGCATTCTGGATTTGGTCTTTTGGGCTTGGCAATGCTCCTTGAAAGTCCACGTATTATCATTATTGGGATTTGGACCCACAAAACTCTTGCATGGATAATTAATTGATTAATCCATTTGAAACTGTCTGTGACATGGAAGCCATGAGACCTTAATTAGTATATATTCTTTCCTAAAAAATAATTATGGATGCCTCTCTAAAAGTGAAAATAACATGCTTTCCCTTCCTAATATTTCTACCAATGCATTGTCTGTCCATTATTATATATACAATCATCTCACCTTTAGTACGATAAAATGCATAAGCTGATCTAAGTTTTATCCTTATAAAATGTCATTTTAGAAGCTGAATGGATCTGGTGCATTCTATATATAAATTATAATTTGGGGACTTTAATTATTTGGTCATTGCGTCTATTTTCCACTATTGACATTGTTCATTAGGAGTTGTTAATCCAGCGTTTGCATGTTAATTACTGTTTGCAGAAATGAGATTAAATTTTTCGTTGCCTGATTGGTTGTAATATATGCTCTACGTTTTGCTGTTTTTATACGTGTTCCTGTGGGTCTATTTCTTCAGCCTGATGAAACAGATTAAAAGGATTTTTTTATTTATATATTTTTTGTTGCATTTTTTTGCCTGTTCATCTAAACTAGATTTTGAGAGGGTAGTTGGATAGGATTTAGGGTTTTGAGTTCAAGATTGTATAAAGCATCGGCGGCAATTCCATAAAGTAACGCCAGTTTCAAGATTTTGGAAGAGCAAATTTCTACTGCGTCCATCTTTATCTCTCTGTTAATTAGGATTTAGGATGCGTGCTGTAGCTGATAAATATGGTTTGATCTTAAACCCGAATGGCGGACGGGTCATGTTTCTTAAAGTTCAAGTTATTGGAGTAGGAAAAAGAGAGCTAGAAGTACTGGGCCTTTGGGGTTCCTTTGCAGCAAACCTAGAAACCGAAAATAAGTTGAGATTATCTCTGCCATTTTCGTGATTAATTTCATTTTTTTTTTGGGGGCATAGATTAAACAGATTGTTTATCCGTGTTCGCTACCCGTTGGCTTTCACATTATTGCATACGTATTAAATTAGCACGAGCAAATAAATGGATGGCGAGATAGCAGCAAGATGCAAAAAGAATTTCTCAACAAATATTTAGCTCCTTACCGATCATGACCGGATCTTTTTCTTATTACTATTAAATTTTTTTTTTTTTAAATTTCTATATTTTTGTCTTAGTTGTAAAGATTATAGGATAGTAAAGACAAGATTAGTCCAAGTATTTTCTCTTTTCGGATTCCTCGGTCTAGATTTCGAAGGGGTCATTGAAAGTCGCGCACTTGCAGCTTTCTCTTAGATAGAGTTGGACTTTCACTTTGTGGGTTCGTGACTCGTGGGGGATAAACAATTTTCCTTTTCCAGTCTCTGTGTGCCTTGGCTTGAGGCGTGATGTATAACAAAACAATGGATTTTTCGCAGAAAGCCAAGCCAATTCACTGACTGGGATTCGACGTAACGAAAACCTCAGAATTTTTCCCGCATCTGTGTGTCAGTAGTCAGTACCCGTTTCGCTCTGCAGCTTCGGCTTTCTTTTGGGGCTTTCTTTTAACCAATGGGTTATTTGAAATCGTGCATGGCGATTGGTGGATCCCCTTTTTTATGGGAAAATACAAGTTATTATTATTTTTTAAAATTATGTGTTTTTGAATTACTTTTTCTTAGTTGTCAAACTTGGGGTGGAACCAAGTTTTTCTTCTTTGAAGTGGTGCGTCAGTGTGGTTATTGGTGGACCCCACTTTTGGAATGGGCAATATTTAGGTGGCCGAATTAGCATCTCTTACAAACCATCAATGCATTAAAGAGGAGAGAATATATTTTCAGTTTTCTATCCTGTTTATCAAAATTTTAATGGCATAAAAAAGATCAGCACCTTTTTCCTTTTCTTAAATGCTTCTAATTTATAAATAATGAATAGAAATGCTATAGACAAAATTTCATATTACCGTTGTATTAGATGTGTTTTCTTTTATAATAGCAAATTTCAAGTGTTTGCTGTGGTTTAAATCCGTTGATTTGAATATCAGATGAGGCTGGTGGTCCATCGGAAGAGGATCTGAGCGCCGGAGAATTGGAACTGCAGGAGTCTCTGCCGGCGAACGAAGATGGTGAGCTGAAGGATCGACTCCTACGCAAGTACAGTGGTCATATTAGCAGCTTAAAGCACGAATTCTCAAAAACGAAAAAGATGGGAAAGCTACCGAAAGAAGCAAGACACATCCTGCTCGACTGGTGGAACATCCATTCCAAATGGCCTTACCCCACTGTAAGCTTTTGCTTTTTTTGTATATGATATGGAGTTTTATACGGTTGAATACATTTTTTAAATTGTGTCTAATAAAATTTTGGTTAGAAAATATGTCCGTGAACTTTTAATCTCAATAAACTTTAAAGTTCTTTTAGGGGCTTTCTCATCCCGGCTTGGGATTTGGATGCGGTTAAAAATGAGAAAAACTTTTAAATTTCTTTATAAGTTTATTGAGATCACAAAATTAATTATGCAGGGATTTAAGATTTTTAGTGTCTTCTATTATATTCGACATTTATTTTTAAATTATAGATCTATTTTTAATTTTGTGTCTACTATCTAATGAGTTTAATAGATCCGTGAATTTTTAATTTTGTGATCTCAATAAATTTTAAAGTTCTTTTGGGGCTTTCTTGGGATTTGAATGCGGGCAGGAATGAGAAAAACTTCTAAATTTCTTTAAAGTTTATTGAGATCACGAGATTAATGGATTTGAAGTTTTTAGTGTCTAATAGATTTCTAATAAATTTGACATTTATTTTTAAATTATAAATTTATTTTTAATTTTGTATCTACTATCTAATGAGTTTACGAGTTTTAAAAATTTTGTTTAGAAACTCAGGAAGTACACCCTTGAAATTGAGAGATTGAACGTACTTGACTTAAAATCCATATGCTGTGTTCCTGGGGAAAATAATGAGTAAAGTAATATATTACCATGAACTAGGATATTACATCCTCATTGTCTTATTTTCTGGTTACGAAGTGGTATTAATACTAAACGGAGGAGCGTTATTGTTATTCGTACAAATGGTATTTCAAACTTAGAACGAGCATGAAGGAATCAACTATAACTCTTGTCTTTTGAGGTGTTCTACCAAACATTTTTCCAGTATTGGTTCTTATAATCATGCGATGTATAAGTTTTTTTCTTTTTTACTGTCGAAATTGAGAGGTTGGGATAGCAATGTGTACGGTCATTTTGATATAACTCTTTTCTCTTTAGTCTTTAGGGTATATATCTGAAAAATGGCGTTGGGATGGATCCTGAAATTGTTGCCACATTTTGATTTTTGTACAGGAGATGGACAAAGTTGAGCTGGCCGAGTCGACGGGCCTAGACCAGAAGCAAATAAGTAACTGGTTCATAAACCAGAGAAAACGCCATTGGAAACCATCAGAAAATATGCAATTTGCTATTATGCATGGTCTTTACGGACCCCTTACGATGAATTGAACAAGGATGAATGGCTACTTTCCCTTTTCCATTTTTCAACTCTCATTAGCGGTACGAATTTATATTCCCTGCCCTAATGAAGATGTTTATTATAATAAATCGAGATAACAATAATTATCCTTGTTCGATTACTTGCTTGTTTAATATCTTAATTCCTTCGCGAAGATCTTACCGCAGATGGCATACAAGTTAGATTTGAATAGTTCGAAATTGTGAAATTAAACTTACAAGATGTGGATTTGTTTGTTCTACTTCATATATCACCACCATTTTTAAAGTTTTCTACAATTGGTTCATCCTTTATATATATAGATCGATATTTTCATATATCTTGTTCAATTATGTAACTAAAGACTAGATTGGATTAGAAATGATCAATAAAACATAATTAGGTGAAATTTAATTTACTAATTCAATAATTTCCATGTATATATATATGATTTTCTTTCGAAGTTTTCATTGTAACGGTATTTTCATAGGTATATTACTTATATATTTATATATATGATGGTTAAAAAATGACCAATTATGGATAATTATGCTACAATTAAAGTTTTATTTATTAATTTAAAACACTTGCATCAATATCACAATTTTCGTGATTTTTTTTCAAAATATCCCTGGTTAATTGGAACTGCCGCTAATTAATGATATCGCAGGATAATAATACTTTAAGAAAATCTTATTATTTTTATTAATGATATTAGTGAAGATCTTAATTCATCATTAGAATTTAAAAAAAAAAGTAAAGTATCTCTACCTAAGATATGGATTTTAATGAAATAATAGAAAAATTTCAAAACCAATACATGTCAATTATTGGGTCATATTACAATCAAGAGCGTATTCTCCATACCCTCATTTAATGAATTTTAATGATACTTGTATTCTCCATACCCTCATTTATTGATTTATTTTTATTTTTTTTGGAGAAAACTCATTTATTGATTTTCACTCCCATTCAAAGAATAAATAAATAAGGTATATCATAGTTTTTGGTACAAGTGGATTTAGAAATATTTTAATTCACAGAAATTATTATAAAAACAAAACTGAGTTGAGCTATTATAAGTAAATATTTTATATAACATTCTCTTAAAATTTGCAATCATATATCAAATTTGCAAATTGTTAATAAACACTTATTAAATTGAAGTCATTTGAACGATTGCATGACAATGGACTGGTGCTCTGAATGCTTCATGGGCCTAAAAAGGCCCTTCAGAGAGAGAACCCAAAAGAGACCACAACGACCGTTAATTACCAGAGCAGTATTTATTATAATATAATATAGGCGCATTTTGGCAGTTTCCAATTTCCAATTTCCATGGCTTTAATGGCGACTTCACGTCTGAGTCTGACACCGCCACTTGATTGGCGTTCACAATTCATCCTTTCTACTTATCTGTATTCTGATTTGTGGGTGGCTCCGCGTTCTGAAGCTGCGACTGAAGAGTCTCGAATGATCTTCCACTCTCCAGTCTCCTGTTCAGCTTTGCTCAGGGATTACAATTCTTTCTTGTTGTTTTGGGTTGTGAAACTCACATGGCGTGCCAGCTGCGGGACTGAAGCACAAGCACCGACGTTGCTATGACTGTAGGCAACGGTTCGTTCCGCGCTCCTCTTGAGTGGAAGTTTTCTCAGGTCTTCGGCGAACGAGCTGCCGGAGAGGATATTCTGGATGGTGAGGCATTCACTTGTACTGGAAAATTCTATGTGAATCAGTTGCTTGGTTTCGCACTTGCGAACAACCTGGAAAGCTAGTTTCTCGGTTTAACAAGCTTTGAACAATCTCTCTCTCGAACGCTTCTGAATGATACTGACTTTTGTTGAACTGTTGAAATGCGAATGATAGGTCTAGCACTTTGTAAATGAAGCTGTATTTCATTATAACGATTTTTCATCGTGTTTTTCCTTCCATTTTTCTCTGAATATCATATAAGAACTTAGGAATTGTATTCTTATGGGACCAAGAGGAGTTAATGTTGCATAATTTATCCCGTTTATTTACTGTCATGTTTGACGATACTCGAATTTGCCGCTATTGTAGTTGATATCATTTCTACAATTGGATTCGATAAGACTGGTGATAACCTTGCCGTTGGAGATCGAGGTGGTCGTGTTATTATATTTGAAAGAAACGACGGGAAGGATGTAAGGATTTCATAACATTTTGAATGAATCTTGACACATTTAAGTTATAGACATCATGTTTTCTGATTCGTTTTAAGCCATTTTTCTTTCAAGGCAAGGGAAATTAATTTGGTAGTTTGGCATCTAACGTTGGATTAAATTGCATCTTCTTCACCTTAATTATTGGATTCATAGACTTCAAAAGACTTCCTTACTCGGAATAAGTTGGAACAGTTGAATCTTTCTCCTGCATTTCATCCTCCTCGATACCAATACAAGACTGAATTTCAGAGTCATGAGCCCGAGGTATGCTGCAAATTTTTAACATTTGACGTTGTGCTTCAATGGGTAATTAATTACAGCCTCTTGTAGCAGAGCAAATTGTATCTTGATTTCAAGATTCTTTCTGTAGTTCGATTACTTGAAGAGTTTGGAAATTGAAGAGAAGATTAATGAAGTAAGTTGGTGTGTATCACCCAATGGATCTCGCTTTATCCTTTCAACAAATGACAAGACCATTAAACTGTGGAAGGTATGATCGTATAAGTTCTCAACTTCCATGTAAAATAATGAACCATATAATTGGAGGATCATCTTTAACTTTTTAGACCTGAGAATGGATAACTACCCTTACAAATGAATCTAGAGTATTTTTTTTCTATATGACTACCAAATGGAAAGAGGTAATTTTTTCTTTGAGATCTTCTTGATTGGATCGTTGGTAGTCATATGGTCCAGACTCTGTCTCGGGAGACCTCATTTAACAATACTATCACTCTTGGCAAATTAATTTTCTCCTTTTCCTGGTCAGGTTAAGGATCATAAGGTGAAAACTGTTAAAGAGATGAACCCCAATCGATTTGTGAGTTCAGAGAATGCACTTTTGGCAGAAACCAGTTTCACTAGTGAACCTAACAAACTACCTCTTTCCAATGGCTGCCATTGGGAATGGTCAGGGAATATGGCAAAGAACAACGTAGCATCTAAAGACATTCATGCCATGGTAGGTAACTATAGTAAAACTTGAAGTTGGTTGATTGAATTAGTTTTGTCTAGTTCGCGGGAGTTTAAACTTATCATGTTGTGTAGAATATAACTTGAGGCTGATTTCCCATGTAGATTGCTGATCCAGACAGCACTTCTCAGAGAAGATGCCGTAAGGTGTATTCTCATGCTCATGATTTTAATATTAACTCCATTTCTAGCAATAGGTAATGTCCCTCTGGCCTTTCTCAAGCTTTAGTTTCTTTCTAGAGATGTACTTTCCGAGTTAAAAGGTAGCTGTCAACTTGTACTCTGCATGCTTATTTGATCATGTTTTCTTTATTATTAGCATTAATAGTTGCATCCAATTGTAAGAAATAACACGTTGAAATCAAAATGTCAGTAAAATGAGCGGTTAACTTGTGTGCAGTGATGGTGAGACATTCATTTCTGCAGACGACTTGCGAATAAACTTATGGAACCTTGAGATTAGTAATCAGTGCTTCAATATCATTGACATGAAGCCTTCAAACATGGAGGATCTGACAGGTACTGCAGCTGTTTATCTACTTTCTGGAACATCTACAGTCTCTTCGAATTGAAATGAATGCTTGAAGCCTTCAGATATTTATCTACTTTTTGGAATACTTATTCCTCTTCATACAGAGAAGAGAGACCCCATAGTAATCCTCTGGGTGTTAAAATTGAACCTGGTCAACTTGAATTCTAGGTGTTAAACTTGGTCGATTTGGTGTAATTGCGTTACATTATCTTTGGGAACCTAGCAAACAAGTAACCGTATACATAATTATTTATTTCGAGAACCTAATTTGAGAGAGTATAGATTTGTAATGTTCAGGAAGTAGAGTCGTGTAACATGTTTTTCACTAAGAACAGTATGGTGCCCTTTCTCTATTGAAGAGAGGAATCCTTGTCCCACTACAGTTTGAATTCATTACAGATACATTTCATTTTCAGTTCCTTTTTTCTCAAACTAATTATGTGATTGTGACTGATGTTTTAATGTTTATCAAGAGATCATAACATCGGCTGAATTCCATCCTCTGCACTGTAATCTTCTTGCGTACAGCAGCTCAAGGGGTTTTATTCGTCTAGTAGACATGCGCCAGTCTGCATTATGTGATCGTAGTGCAACTCTGTGAGTTTATCTCATTCGTACAATGCCTTGCAAGTGAAATCCTTAATCAAATACCCTGTTGGTGTTTGATAATAGCTGGTTTTATTTTACAGATTACGAGCTGAAGAATTGAGTCGACCAAAATCATTTTTTACGGAGATCATTTCATCCATCTCTGATATAAAATTTTCAAGCGACGGGAGATTTATCATTAGTCGGGATTACATGAATTTAAAGGTTTTAATATTACTTGGTATAGATGGAATATTTTTTTGTGGATTTATTATCTGTAACTAGAGTCATTGCTCTAACTATTGCAGAATACTGTAGAAGGAATGGGATATGTATTTTTTACTGACCATATACGACTGCTTGCTTTTTTATAAGTTGATTTTTGGATCTACTTGCTGTTAATTACTTTTATTCTGTTTAGTCGTAAACATGTTGGCTTATGGTCGAGGATATTAACCTTTCGTCACTTTACTTGATTAGTTGATGGTGAAGCAAGTTTGTACGGGCAAGATGGTTAACTAAACAAATTTGTATATGTTTTTCAGTTACGAGTTCATTTATACCTTTCTCTCTTTTTTTAGCTCTGGGATATCCACAAGTGTTCTTCTCCACTTGCAGTATTCAAGATTCATGAGCACCTGCGACCTAGGGTGAGTACATATTTATTGTGGCTATGTCAAGGGGGAAAAAAAAAACTCTAACAAAGAAAGGGTTTTAGAACTTGCTTTTTAATAAGTCAAACGTATGAGCAGTCTTGAACAATATTTCTGTAAATTCTTCATTTTTGTGCGAAGATTTTGTGGTCCATTATATATTAATTTTGTAAACACCAGCTTCATTGTTAAAGGCTGCATAACACTTTCCTCATAGCTGACTTTTGACTGTCTCTTCTTCAGCTGTGTGAGCTGTATGATAACGATTCCATATTTGATAGATTTGAATGCTGCCTCAGTGGCGACGGGCTTCACTTTGCAACTGGATCTTATAGGTTTGCCCTCTAATCTTAGATGAACTCCCCTATCCTTTAAGAAAAAATCGTGTTTAGTTTATTTTTGGCTGGACTGCTACATTTGTCAATTGCTGCTTTAGTGACACGTATTCTTGTCATTTCTCTCAGCAATCAATTACGGATGTTCTCTTATGGCTCTGGAAGTGCGGACGGTATCACTACTGAAGCGGGAAAAGTTCCTGATAGGTCAGTTTATGTTTTATTTACTACGGTATTCATTGCTTTCTGCCTGAATGAGATCCTTATGGTTTCAACATGATCAAACTAAGAACCTGAAATTGCTCGCACGTTCTTGCTATTAAACAGAAAGATCTGCATCCTGTTTCTACCATGGCAGACACGTGTTGGGTCTATATGTGTCGGATCCTAACTGTTTGGCCCATTTGAACTGTTTACAAGATACATCGAATATGAACACCGACAGGCCACATGGCTGAGTTGTTAAGTATCTGTTGATGCCGGTCGCATTTAGTACTAGTCATGCCTATGATAGAGCCTTAAAATTTTTAAGACTAAAATGAGGTGCCTTTGTTTAAAAAATACTCTGAATAAACATTTATTAATATTTTGAACGAAAAGTTGACATGGCATTATATAAAATTACGTGACAAGTCAATTTTGTCTTAATCTCCCTCTTAAAAATGATACTTTCTTCTACATTTACTCGAAGCAAGCTTTCATGTTAATGACACGTTGTTCTAGATTCTTCCACGTCAATTTTTCGCTCAAAATATTAATGGATGATGTTAATAGAGCTTTGTTCAAAGAGTATTTTCGAAACATTTATGGAAAGTCAATAGTAGTATTGAAACTTTTGAAATGTTAAAGGTAATTTTTGAAAAAGTTCAGAGGTAGTTTTATAGCTGAAAGATTTATGTATATTGAATTTAAGACAAATGCAATTGCCCTACACCTTGGTTGAACAATATGAACTTAGCTCAGCGGTAATTAACACTTGTCTCTGAACGAGAGATTATGAGTTTGAATCTCCATCCCATTTATTGTACTAGAATATATATATATATATATATATATATATATATATATATATTATGCCCCTTGTGTGTCTCATATTTGAACTCAGCTTTTGTTCTACACTCCTGAATTAAAATACAGGAAGCCACTTCTCCAGCCCACTCGGCGGGCTAGAAGGTCGTCTTTAAGCAACCTGACACGTGAATTTTTTCGGCATGGTTTGTTCTTTTCTTCCCTCCCTCTCTCTTTAAACTACATTCCCTTTTTAAATACTCTGTACAATCTTGTATTAACATGCTGGACTCGGACTGAACATACTCTTTTATTTTTTGCCATTTTATTTCACAGGCAATGAACATTCAAGCTCAGGCCGTAATGAAGCTTCTGTTGACCTGAACTCCAAGTTGCTTCATCTAGCGTGGCATCCAACAGAAAATTTAATAGCATGTGCTGCTGGGAGTGGCCTGTTCATGTATTATGCATAGTCCCCTGTAATATTTGTAGTTGAAAAGTATCCTTTAAACAGGAGTCGTTCTTTCTTTTCAAATTATGGGTGTAGAGAAATAATAGCCTAGGATATATTCTCCAGCAAGGAAGTGTATTAATAAAGAACAATATGTGTGTGTATATATAATGACTAGATGAAATTCTATCATATTCAGGACAATCCAACAAGGTTCTAGTTTTTCGAGAAAAGTTACACATTCATAGGCTCTGGTTTTTCGAGAAAAGTTACACATTCATATCTATTAAGAACAATAATACTCTCGTATTTCAAGTATCTCCACAAAAAATCCACCCAACGTCCTCCCATGGAATGAGTTACATAGTGCCATCCAGATTTGGAATCCACTTTTTATATCTCCTCATTGATCGGAGGTCCAGGGGGTCCATAGAATCCAAAGGGGAAGTTTTGCTCGGGGTTATTCACTCTCATTTTATCGCCTGGTATCTTGAATGAAACTTCTTTGCTTACAAGGTTTGGGGTGGAACCGTCTGAGCACTTCACGGATGATATATATCAAGGGAAAATGGAGAGGGAAGAATACAGGAAAATGAAAATATCATAAATTAAAGAAATATAAAAGAATATATATATTAATCAGAAAGCGGAGAGGTAGAAGAATATGGTAAAATATAATTAATTGAAGAGAGAGTGGAGAAAGAGGAAAGAATATGAGAGTAAAAAAAATTCATTAACAGAGAAAATGATATCGAAAAGGAAAAAATCATTTATCTGAACAAAAATGGAGAGAGAGAGAGTAATAGACAATGAAAAAAATTATTAATCGGAGAAAGTAGAGAGTGAGAAATACTACGTTGTCTTATTATCTATAATTTTGTAAGTTTTACAGTAAATTAAATAAAAGGTTAAGGAAGACAAATAAAGTTAGTTGAAGAGAGAGGTTCTGGAGTTGGTATCAAAGAATACACGTGAGAAAAAGGTTGGTATAAAAGTAATTTAAGCGATACTCAGATTTTGGGTTGATAAATGAAAATTTCCCACGCATCAACGCGCGTCAATTCCATTAGGCCCAGCCTACTGCCCTCCCCAACCCTAATTTCTCTCAAACTCACGCCCCCCAATCTCCCCATTCCTCTTCCTCTTCCTCAATCTCTGGCTTAACTTTTATCCAGCTATAACCCTTCTAGCAGCCGTCCGCCGTCTGCCGTCGCCGTCGCCGTCGTTCTAGCCATCGCGCGTCGCAGTCCCTTCGGCCAAAGGCGCCGTAGCAGTCGTCGTACTCGTTGGCCTGTGCTTCCTCTCGCAGGATTTGCCTTCACTCTGTAAGGTTTGCTTCCGCATACGATTTCTCTCCGCCCTCGGTTTCTCTTTCCCTCTCTGCCGCTTCTTCACTCTCATTTCTCTCGCCCTCTCCAAATGTTCTAACCCCCAATCGCTCGATGGAATCGGTCAACCCGTTGGTTGTCGGTCTTTTCCGGTTCGGTTCTGATTTATGAAACTCGAACCGACATCCTAAACCAAACGAAATTAGTCACTTAGATGTCGTTTGGGTTCTATAACCTAACTCTAAATATTTTTCGACATGGGTTCTACCTCTCATAATTGACATTTTTATATGGTACAAGAAAAACAAATGGAATGTCACTAATATATATATATATATATATATATATATATATAATATTAATATTAATTATTTTTAATTAATTTTAGAAATTTTTTTTTTTTGTTAATTTAAACATTTTTTAAAATTTTATAGAAATGTTCATTCACATCGACATTTTATCGATATTTTCATAAAATTGAGATTATCTATGTTTGATATTGGGGGTCATAGTTGTCGCTCCCTACTTGCTTATTTGGATCCAACAAGAATTTATAATACAAGTAGTTATTTATTTCATTGTTAATTAATAATTATGAGATACAATTCCATTGATCAAAAAGTTAAAAGACGAGATCCGACCCAAGATTGATAAATCCAAAAGGGAGGTATTCATTAAAAGTTTATAATATAAGTTGGCTATTATTTTCATTGTCAATTAAATTTTGAAATAGAATTCTATAAATATTAATTAAAAATGATAAATGATAAAATAATATTAATATTATAAGAAATTATTTATGAACGAAATATTCATAGTCCTTTTGGACCAATAGGTCACCTGATCTATCCATGATGGTTCTTCTTCTCCTTTTCCTTCATCTCCCGACAAAATAAACCTTTTGTAAATGCTTTTTAAGTTTTTTTAATCGTCATTCTCAGAACATAAATTTTCTAGTCACTTACATCATCTACTTTATCAAATGACTTTCTATGCCCCTCCTTATTTTTTTTCTCTTCCAGATTTCATCTCTCTTCTCTCTCTCGTCCTCTCTCTTCCATTTTTTAGATGTGCTTGATCTTCTCCATGATTTCTACACAATACACACTAGTTTTTTAGCGTCTCCGCTAGGAATTCAACGAGTGGAGGTCCCGTTCGATTGTCGTCCGCTGCTTCCATCCCGAGCTCTTGCGCCTCCCTGGTGGCCTCTCCGACGATACCGTTGAACAATGACAACATTGCCGGCGGCAAGAAGGAGGGAGAGAATAATTTGCATATGAAATAAGATAAAATTTTCTTTATTATTTTTCCCAACTCTTTCACCCTCTCTTCTAAAATCAAATTTTCAAGATTTTAAAAATTTTTTATTCTTTATACAATATATTGCTATTTTCTACCAAACTCTCAAACCTCTAGCTCTTGCACGTCCCTCTTCTACGGACTATCTTCTTCTCCATGAAACCAAATGCGTCGAGGAGAGTGGGGAGAGATGAGAGAGGGACAAAGCGAGAACGAGAGCGAGGTCATCGATAGAGCGAGATTGAGAGAGCGAAATCGAGAGAATCGGATCGAGAGGGAGAGAGATTAAGAGAGAGAGGGGGAGCCAGAGGTGAAGAAGTGGTGATAATAACGAAAAAAATGGGATGGTTAGGAAAAAAAAAGGATTGTTTTCTTTTTCTTTTTTCTTTACTCCACCAAATTGAATTAAATTAAATTTTAAATTTATGATTAAAGGAGCAGATTTATAAGGAAGAGTTAAGGGAAAAACATGATTTTTTTTTTTTTATACTTTCACCTAATTAGATAGGATTAATCAAAATTAGGAGAGATATTAAAGGAGAAATTTATGTTAATTTTTCAAATGGTTCGTTCAAATAATTAAAGAGGAAAAAAATAATTAAGGAAACAAATCTATATTAAATTTCAAATTTGAATATACTAAAATTAATGCGATTAATTATAATTTTAAATTTTAATTAAAAAAATCTATTTTAAATTTGAGATTTCGTTTCTCTCCATTCCAATTTTTAAAATCGTTTCTCGCTCAACTATTCTCGCTCTCGCTCACTCATCTCTCGCTCAATTCTCTCTATCTCAACTTTCTTGTATTCAACTCTCTCTCTCTCTCTCTATCTCCTTCCCCATCCCATCGTAAGTCGAACTTCCTTCCTCTCCCGAGCCTCTTTCTTTGACAAACGACCTCTCTCGTCGGCTTTGATGCATCTGTCGCTGGTGATTATTGAAGGTCACGAGAATCATGGAGGCTGCTAGTTAAAGAATGGTGAGAGATTTAGGGTTTTTTTATAGTAGAGTAAACAAGAAAAAAACTCATGCTTGCGGAAGACATGAAAAAGGGAAAGAGAGAGTAACAAAAAACGATGAGAAGAAAAAAATCGGGAAAAGGAAGAAGATGGAGGTAGGGAGAAGAAATAAAGAAAAAAAGAAATAAAGGAGGAAAACCTAAAAGGGAGGAAAACTAAAAACTTTTGGTAGTAGTATAAGGAGGGGTATGGGAGCTCATTTGGCAAAGTATGTGATGTCAGTAGTGACGGTAAAACTTGTGTTTTGAGAAGGACGATTAAAAAACTAAAAAGACCATTACAGAAGACTTATTTTGTCAATTTTCTCGACGAATATTGAAGAATAAGAGGAAGGAAAAGAAATAATGGACAAGAGAGAATAAAAAAGAAAAAGGAAAGGGGAGAGGAGAGAGAGGAAGAGGAGGAGGAGCGAGAGGAGATAGGGAAAGAGAGGAGAGAGAGTGAGAGAAAGATGAGGGAGATCGAGAGGAAGATGAAAGAGGAGAGAGAAAAAATTAATTTCATTATTATTATTTTGTCTTTCCATACTCCCCCATAATCAAAATTAATTTTCCTCTTTCTCTCTCTCTCTAAAAAACATGGTTTTCTCTCTTTCTCACACACTCTTACTCCACGCCCAATATTTTTCTCTCTTATTCACACCCTTCACTATCTCTTTCTCACATCCCCTCTAAAAAATTTAGCGACATTTTCTCTTCCTCTTCCTCACACCTCTCTCTAAGTCTCTGCGTATTAGTCGAATATGATCGTGGTCGAGATTGAGAGCGAGAGCGAGAGTGAGATTTTGAGCGAGCGGACAACGACAAAGTCGCCGACAGCCAATAAAAGGAAAACGGAGGTGCCCAAGGTCAAATCTCGCTCTCGACGGTCAGATATCGCTCTTAGACGATCTTATTTTTAGAGAGAGAGAAAGTGTCTTTACTAAATTAATTGGATTTTTGTTTCATTATAAATCTTATTTTTAGAGAGAAAGTGTATCTATGAAATTAATTGTGTTTTATTTCATTATAAATCATATTTTTAGAGAGAGAAGATGTGTCTATCGATTGGGGTTTTGAGAAAAAATTGAATGAGAACGGGAGAGAAGAAAATAAAAATGAGGAGAGAGGAAGAATGATGCTTTTTGAAGATATGGAAAAAGAGGGAGAGAGAACGAGAGATAAATCTAAAAATTAGTGGAGGGATAGTAAAAGTAATTTGGTATTAAAGATGATGTCAAGAAAGATTAGAAAATATAGATTTTGAAAAAAGTGGGTAATAAACGATAATGCTTTGCTAAAATGGCTATTCAACCCAATTTCCTGGTAAAAGGGCTAGCCCAAAACAATGACACATCAATAATGTCATATAGGTTTTTCGTTAGTCAACTACAATCAATTTAATTTATGAACCATTTTAAACTATTTTCCAAATCTAAAAAATTAAAAGTATATTTTGAAATTAAAACAGTAAATAAATATAAATTCAAACTTAGTTTTCAAAATTTTAGGAACTAGATATATATTTAATTCTAACTCAGAGGAAAACAAAACAAAATAATGTACAAAAAAATTTATGGAATGTATTTGTTTGGTTACTCTCTCTTTCTCTGTGGAGAAAGGGAAATAGCAATTTTTTCCTATCGAACGTCTACAAACAAGAGGATTTAATCGGAAATATCGACAGATTCCTGTGTGTGGAGTCCAAATAAATATGAAAATGAAATTAAAAAATCCACTGTTATAATTTAATCCTTATCGAATTTGAATATCAGAATAGTGGATATAGTAATGATTCAATGGGTTAGGTCCACTTACTTTTTAATTTTTTTTTGTTGATTTCGAATCTTTATAATTGATTGTAATAATGGAAAATAGGAATATTTGGGAATTCGAGGAAACGACTTATCATGATTCTAATCAATCATGATAGATTATTTGAATCTATTCTAATGATTAGAATAGAATCTAGAATAAAATAATAGAATTTATATATTCTATAGAATATATAAATTAGAGAATTAGAAATTCTAAAATAAAAATAATAATTCAACTTTTTCCTCCACATCAATGCATGATTAATGTTTTCACTCCACCATGCCCTTTTCCCTATGCCCTGCTCTAGGGTTTTAGGTGAAAAAGTGGTTCATCACTAACAATAACCAATTTCCCAATTGGAAAGCTTAGATCTATTTCCCACCTTCAAAGGTACTGTGATCTGGGCTTCTAAGACCTGGTAATTCACCCACTGGGTTCCGTTTTGTGATTTGTTTTCCTTTTGGAGAGAACAGAAGGTCATCCTTGAAAACATTTTCGCAATTGGAGAAGGTAAAGTGTTGATACTGTATGTTTTCCCCATGCGTGAAATTACTAAATCCATTTGCGTACTTGTCATTGTTTTTTGAATCGTAGTGTGTCAATGTATTTGCATGTTTCAATGCCTTGAGCGTACCCATATTTCATGTTGCCGGCGTAGTCCGTTACAATTTATTCAGTTTTTAAAATCCATGCGCTGGTTGGCTCCGTGATATATATTAACTTCATTTTGATATTGCTTCAAGCTCTTGTATCCCTAAATTGTTGTACTAAAAAATGACTACGATATGTGTATTATGATGTTTTTGGTTATGAATAATAGAGTGAACCGTTTGGTAACCGTTTTGTTTTCTACAACCACTTCCCCTAAGGATTGTTTTGTCATGT